AGCATGCATAGGGCAAGATACCTCCTATGACTAACTACTCGATACGAATATTGACTGTGAGTTGTATCATTAAAACCATCAAAAGACAGCGCATTCTCACCTTAAAAAATAATATCCTCAAGAATAATAACTGTAAGATACTGTATAATATAAGAAGCATTAAAAATACACTAAAAAAAAAAAAAAAAAAATACCACGTCTATATAAGAAAATATAGAAGAGAAAAATTAGGGAATAAAATAAAAATAAAAAATAAAATTAACAAAAATCAAATACCTTACTATATACCGCTTTGGACAACAACTTTGCGGGTTAAAAGTAAAAATTCGTATGTGTCTAATAAAATAAAGATTATTTTGATTTTTTATTCTTGTCTATCGTTCGTCGTGGGAAAAAGGTAATCTTTCGCGTATAAATATAAATATGGCAAAATCATGTGATCATATAATTACGAAATTTTATTCTACCAATTATAGAATATGCACAACCTAGAAAAATCAGAAGGTGCAAATGCAACAATCACCAAAAGAATACCACTGTGAGTTCCTAGTAAGTTTTTATTCGTTTCCGTAAAATTCTATGCGAAGAGTACAATCAAACATAACACCACATAAAAAAAAAACTATTCGAATGAAGCAATATTAACGATAAGCGATTCCTTTTACTATGATCCGTGGTATCACGTAAATTTCACGAAGCAAAGCATTTAAAAGAGAACTTTACTAAACTGCTAATTTATTGGCTTTAAATTTATTAAAGAAATATAATCAACTAAATGAATTAAATTCACCGTAAATTTATAAAAAAAAAAAAATTAATATATTTCTTAAAAAAAAGAGGCTTGTAAATTTAAAATTAATTATACTATAGCATATGCACAGCCTAAAACATCGCTTTCTGAATTTCCAACACCAACTGCCATAATATAAATACTGGAACATCCACAGATTGAGAATATGAGTCCCCAGCTTTAATTGGACACCCACTTCCAGTACAAGCATCTGTAACAAAGGGGTGCTATGGGTTGTTTAGAGATATCAGCAAATGCAACCACAAGTTTGGTTTGTGCGGTGACATCTTTTGAAAATGTTCCTGAAACAGAAACTTTATCATTTGTTCCAGCGACGGGAGGATCGGGTGAAATTGATACTTGGAGTAAGGCTGGTGCGCTCGATGCTCCTGGAGGTGTGAAACATGCATTAAAGCTAGTTATAATAATTTGTTTTTTTAAATTTTTGACTTGAATACTTGTCAAAAAATTTTACATTCTTTCATCCATATAGTTAGACACTTTTTAATAATTGCAATGCGCCATGTACTGAGCATTATATAAGTCATTTTACGTCCAAAAATAGATCAGATTTTTTATACGATTATCGATTAAAATCGATTTCGATTAATTCGATTTTATTAGGATCAACTTTCAAAGAAAACTCATGTTAAAGACCCTAAGAGAATGCTCTAAATTAAGTAAAAAAGAATAAATAACCAAATTAAAAAAAAAAGACGAAAAAAAAGAAAGAAAATAATAAAGAACTGAATAAACGAAAAAGTAAAAGGAATAAATCCGAACTTACCAATCGAAAAAAAAAGTCGAAATAAATAAATAAAAAAAAATTGAAAAATCGAAATTAAAATCCAAAATAATAAAATCTTTAAAAAAAAAAAAAAAAAAAAAAAAGCGGTGATTTTAAATTTTAAATGTAGTCTAAAAAAATTATTAAAATTTTATTAAACTAAAAAGAACTTAACAAAGTTAATTCCAAAATTAAAATAAAATAAATAATAAATAAACAACTGCTAAATCTTCAAACACAAATAAATTTCTAATTACTTAAATTTTCGGAATAGATTTTTCCATTATTTTCTAAAAAAAAATTTTGGCAGAGGCCGCAACTCCCAAAGGTCAAATTCGCGTCACCACAATTATAGTTTTCGCTAAGCTTATATAGGGATGATTTTCAAAATTATGGGATCCAGATGCTATATAATTTGAATGATCGTCCAAATTTGCATCACATATAGTTGCCTGGCAAACTCATTTTAGCAAATGGCAAAAGTCGAAACCCTTATATTTCGACGGATTTGTTAATAAGTATTCTTATTATGGTTTCGAGTTTCGAGTTTCGACGGGTTTGACAATAAGGTTTTATTACAATTTTGCCAATGACCCCGTCGAAACCCGAGAGTTTTGCCAGGCAACTATAGCATCACATGATTAAATTTCTTTCCAAACGCGCTTTAACATTACTTAAAAAAAAATTTTAATTCCTCTCAAAATGCCTTATCATAAAGGTTCGAAACACTCAGCCCAAAAAAAGGTTGAAAGAACAAAAGCGTATAAGAAAAAAAGAAAACTGAGCTCTCTGATTTTATTGAAGAGCTTGCAAATACTCGGTTAAACAGCAAGAAGAAAAAAGAAAATGGATAATCATGGCCGAAAGGATTCATAACTTACATGAATATATATTCAGACAAAAGACAATGAAATCCTAAACTTGCGGAAACGCGAGGAGCTAGAATTAAAATGCGATAATCATAAAAATGCAGTGGTGATGTAGTGGGTGAAATACAGTGATTTATTAGAGGGCAAGGTATTTGCTTCGGTTGGTTGGTCTAGCTGGTGGGTTTTTATTTCTTTAATCATCGGGATTATTTTGGTGGTCTATTCTTTTGGCTGATTTTCTAGGACCTATATTTCCTTTTATGTAAATTATTTTTTTAAACCCGCTGAATATGGTAGTAGGAAGTTCAAAGATTTTTTCTCTAGGACTATAAGGGTCCTTTTATGGTAATGAAAAGGTAAAAAGAAGTCGGGATGAGGGTGGAAGTAAACCCATTTATTTCACAAAAGATTTTTAGAGACCAAGATGATAAAGACCGCTGGGTTATGATAAAGAAAAAAAATATTATGTTAAAAAAAATAAAAAAAATCAAATTAATGCTTATAACTTATTAGTAATTTCTTGCATCTAATTTTGTAGTTTAATTTTTTATTTAAGTGACTTTTTACGATTGTTTAAATCATGTTTATTCATTTTCCTCTTTCGAAGGAATTTCCAATTATTATTATCTTGTGAAACTTCTATTATCCTTTCTAATTTTATATTCAAACAAGATAAGGACTCGGATAATTGTAATCAAAGGAAAGGTTTGTCATTTTATTATGTAAAGTGGTTTCTCATTACTATATTATTTATTAATATAAATATAATTTCAGATTTGTTTTCGTATCTTTATGAACTTTAGATGACTTTCTGGAGTAGAAATACAATACAAAAAAAAAATTAATAAAAAAAAAACGAGTTTGACGCTAATTTAAAAACGTTTGCCAGACATATAATATAACCCCCTGTGGGAATGTAGGTAGGTATCGGAGTTTTTTAAAATTTTTAATTTATTTGTTATTTGAATTTCATAATTTCAATGTGATAGATTGAAGGCGGTGGCAGTCTGATTAATCAGTTCAGCTAGTCGAGAATGTTAAAGCTAGAGTCTAATTATAAAAATAATTGACCGTATCTTTGTTAAACAGGATTATTGTGGTGAATAATTTCCTTATAGGTAGGTGTTATATTTATTTAATATTATTATTTGAAATTGTTGAAAAATTATTTGACTGATATCTGAAGAGATCTATCTATTCTTGCAGATGTCAATGTTTATTACTGAGTTTACCGACATTTTGAGAAATTAAATAATCGTGTTATACATAATCACGATGATGTGATTTCGTGAATCATGCAGTTAGAGCTTCTCTTCTGTTAAAAAAAAGCAATAGATCAATCTCAATAGTTTGAAAAGGACGTGCCTTGAAAATCGCTTGGGGAAGGCTACGTCCTACTAGACGTAGTACGAGCCACTTCTCAAAATAATGCAAACCCCAGCATCTCCTGAAGATGCATCAACTGATTGTCTTCAAGGTGAAAGATAAAATTTTTTTCTACTTTTATGGAACGTTATCTAATTTATTAAGGTTGGTTAACTTCTTAGTGATTCTCGCACGCACCCTCAAATTCTAAGTAGTTTTATTTAAATTATACAGAACTTGATTTTATTCTTTTTCGGACGACCTTATGGAAGTATAGTATTTCATTTTATAATTCTTCATTTAAAATGATGAATTCGTTCATTAAAAATATCTAATACAGTATTATATGATTTCTGAATTTTCATTTCTGGAATTTTTATTTGCATTAACATATCTCTTTTATATGCATCATTTAATAAAAACAAGAATTACCTGCACAATCAATTTATGACGAATTGATGTACTTTCGGTATTGTCTTCATAATAATAATAATAATAATAATGTTTATAATGAAATTTTATTAAACATTTCAATCCGCTAATAATATCCAATGACATTCGAAACTTATCTTTTCTATTGTAACAATTTAAATACGTTTGATTTTTTAAATCATCTCTGAATTTCTTTATTGGAATATTCCAATTCCATAAAATAATCTCCATCAAAATCTATTAATATTTAAATAATAAAAAATTTGTCGAATTTAAGGAAAATAAAAGAATTATTTTGTTATTCCAAGAAAAACAATTGATATTCGAATGATAATGAAATTTACGAAGGAGTTTCACCTATAAAAAATTAATTACATTTCGATTTACAAGTTAAATAATACGACTGATTAAAGTATAATAATATATGGGAGGTATGCGTGATTTAATAGCAAACCTCCCTTATATATATAAAAAAGTTATTCAAATTTATTTTTAAGGAACTTTCAATGCGTCTACTACTCACAACACCTAACCTCCACCAATTTATAAACATTGTTGAGTTCACCTATATGGGAGGTAAGCTATTAAAATCACGTTATGGATCATATGATTTACTATGTTCGTAACTTGATTTTTAATAGCAAACCTCCCAATATTCAAAATAAGTAATGACTCCATCTTTTATCGTATGAGTCTGTGTTAATCGCTAACCGTTCATTAGTTTTTTCAATATTAGGATCTTCTTTAAAGATGTGCTAACTGGATTTCTTTAATTCTCGAATTAATAAGTTGATAGATCAACTTGTATCTTTGTGATTTCTCATAATAGGACGCTTAAATATATGTATCTTATTTCTTGTTTCTTACATAATTGTCTTGTATATAATATTATGGATCAAAAATTCTGGCATTCCTTCAACTCTTGAACTTGTTGTATTTTCAGTAATATTCTTTGACAATATAAGGTCCGCGACTATCATTTTTTAATGCATTTATTTTTATATGATTAACAATTTTATCGTTTACGAGTATGATAATAGATTAGAAATATTAATTACCACCAATCTCCATGAATTATACCAAAATTTATTCCAATAAAGTGATTGATATTTCGATGATAATGAACGATAAGATAAATTTGATGTTATTATTGTCATGTGCAATCCGGTTCAAATTGTACAATTTATTCACATGACAGAACAATCCATTTATTGTAGGGAATCGATTCTATCAAATATCAAATTAATCAAAATAGAATTTGAATCGATTAATTGAAAGACGAATAAAAAAATTGAATCCATTCTTGATTTTTGTAGCAATTACAGCTATAATAAAACTTTAAAAATATAATTACGATGAAAAAAATAATAATGGAATGGCAAGAAAAAAATCCAGAAAACAAAAAACGCTGTCTAACCCAAATTTGAAGGATTATAAATACAATTAAAAACAAAGAAAGGCACCTAATCACTGCACGAGTGATTAAATCCAATAAAAAAATATTGACGGAATGATCAAAAAAAAAAAGCCTGAATTTATCCATTTCGTGCAAGGAGGAATCTTAAGAAAGAATGAATGAAAAACAAAGGAGGTAAAATAAAAATATTTGATTGTTGCGAACCCGAAGGCAAAAAAAAAGAAAATTAAAACGATCAAAGAATTATTAAAAAGATTTTTATAAAAAAAAATTCGAAAAAAATATAACCATTCGATCCATACTAAACTTGCGGTTGTATTATTACGAACAACAATACGAAGTTGTAATGAACATTGCAACTAATACACAAGGATAAGCAAAATATTTTACAAGTTATGACATTACGACAGTGTCATTGTTTGAACGTGTAATACATGCTCATAAATAAATCTATAATACATACGTGTCTACGCGCCATCATTTTTTGTGTTGCCTTTCTAACTAATTACAGTTATACAGTACGTTATGACAAATAATCAAAACGAGAAGTAGTTCTAATAATGAGCAAGCAAATAATAGAATAAAAACTGGACCAAAAATTTGGCCCTATTTGGGATTATTTTATTCAAGTATTTTAAGAGTATATAGTATTTAACTAGATTAGGTTGGTGTGCGGCGACTTTGTCGCCGCTAGTTATGGTTATTATACTGCTTTAGTTGTAATATATCCTTTATTAAGTTATCGCCGTGACGAGCCGAAGGGGTCCATCCGAAGAGCCGCGCCGAAAGGGCGAATAATTATTTA